GTGAGCACGGTGAAATGGTTTTTTTTTTTTTTTTTTTTTTTTAAAAAAAAAAAAAAAGCGAGCAGCTCAGCACACTGCCCACAGTAGCGTTGCATTTTGGTTAGCTTTTGTGAGACGCTGTTTTGCTGCTCGGTTCGCTCCTCTGGCCCCGCGCCACTTGGCGCAGGCTTGCGACTTCGCTGTGCCAGGAGCTATATTGAGGGAAAATAGCTGGCTTTTCCGAGCGGAGCTATTGTCCTGAGGCTGTGTACTAAACACTTTTCAACTCCAACGGGTTCCTTTCCCGACGCTGAGAAAAGAAATCACCCGCCTGGCATGGCAGTTAGCTCTGCGTTTTTATGTTTTCCTGTGTTTATTGGTGTTTAAAAACAAGTTTTCTGTATTTAGCTTTTCTACAGCTGCTGTTGCTGAGGTTGTGCAAACAATTTCAAGAAATCCTGTGTTTGAGAGCCGGGGTCCCTGGCAGGGGCCGTGCTCGGGAGCAGGGAGAGGTTTGTTAGAAATGCTGGGGGAGGGCTGGTTTTCTGCAAGAGCAATTTAAATGCAACTTGCTGGAAGCCCGAACAGCATCCACCAGCCAAAAACCTGCCTGTTGCACGGGATCGGCTGCAGAAAAGCTGCCGGAAAACGTCGCGGCCAAGGAAGGCAGCGCCTGTTTTTGAGGGCGTAGCAGAGCGAGATTCAGGCTGGGTTGCGAGTTCAAAGTCCTAATTCAGCCCAGCTCCGTTTCCTTGATAAATGTTTAACCTCCAGTTGCACTGTACTTGACTGCAGTGTGTATGTTAATTTTTTCCTAGCTTCTATTTTTAGATGCTTTTGACTTGTAGTAATTCAAGTGCCTTATATTCCCAAACAGCTGCTATTTTTAAATGGCGTAAAGCACCGTCACTTTGCATTTTCATTGGGAAAGCTGCTGGGATCAGCAAAAGTGCCTGCGTATTGTCCCCAAACCAGCGAGCAGGGCAAAAATGACCGACGTGAGATGGTTTAAATAGGAGTGATTTGCTTACAAGAAGAAACGAAAAGCGGTTCTTCCGTGGAAAACTCGTTGGGCACCATCTGTGACAGGCGCTTCGGGAGGTGTTTTCAGCCTGAGGGGTTTTGGGGTTTGAAATAAGTAGGGTGGGGGGAGAAATGGATAGGAGGAGAGCGCCGGGCTGGGCTGAAGTCCTGGCTGGGCTGGCTCCCGTTTCCAGTTTTAATTCTAATTTGTATGACCGGCTCAGCCCGGCCGTTTCCCTGCAGCTCCATGAAGTTCTTGTAACTGCACTCTCCCCTTTTTGTTGCCTTATTACCATCTGGACTCCTTCCTCCAGCCACAGCACGGCTCTACAACCGCTCGTCTATTTGGGCATCACCCTGCGAGTGAAGCGGGTTCCCACCCTCGGCGGCAGTGTTTGAGGGGACGAACGCGCACAGCGGTCCCACGCTGCGTAACGGGCCCCGTTTTCACGCTCCCGAATACTCCCGCAGGTCGGCTGTGGACCCCACCGGCCAGAGGCTGCTTCCCCTGGCCACCACGGGCGACGGGAACTGCCTGCTCCACGCCGCCTCCCTGGGTAAGAGCTTGGCTTAATTTACGGCGGGCGAAAAAACAAACTGAAAAAACAAACACTTCACGCCTGGTAACGTGCATCGTGCCGGTGCCACCGCCCGTCTCCGGCTGAGACTGGGGAAGCGGCTGTGCCGGGAGGAGAGCCCAGGATCATCCTTTGGGAGCGGGACCGAGCGTTTCCCATCCGTTCCCGCGGGAAACCGCGACGCTGCCGCTCACCCCGGCGGCCGCGGTAGTAGGCGTGCGAGCGGTTGCGATGCTCAGGCTCTGCGGGAGAGGGGTGGGTTGAAGCAACCAGGTTGCCAATAGCTCGGGTACTTCAGGAATTCCTCCGCCGTTTGGCGAGTTTCCCTGTATTGCTGAAGGAAATGTGAAATAACAGAGCCGCCCCTTCCCTCCTCTCCCACGTTGAAGTTTCGGGAGCCCAGATTTGACTTCCTCTTGTCAAGTGGGACCGTCATAAATCTTCTGAGGTTTCCAGACTTTTAAATCAGCGGGGTTGTGTTTCCTCCCTATGTGAATTTCAGACCCGGCAAAGCCACAGTCTCGTTTAACCCCGTCTCGCTTTCCCATCAGACGTTGATGTAGCGTGTGATTTTTGAGAAGCAGTGTCTTGCTGCGTCTGTGAGATGCCTTGGAGTTGAAAGCTGAGGTGGCAGCATCTCCATTTAGCCGCGCGAAAACTCGCTGCAGGTGGAAAACGCAGGCTTTGAACCAGGGATTTTGTTATTTAGATTGAGAAACTTGCATTTCTCTGCCTGTTTCCCAGCTTAGGCCCTTCCCCTGGTTCGTGGCAGGTTGTAGGACCTCAGCAGATCGCTGGAGTGATGCCAGCTGCTGCTAATCCTCTGCTACTCCCTCTTTTTCTTTTTGCAGGTATGTGGGGTTTCCACGACAGAGATCTCATGCTGCGCAAATCCCTTTATACCTTGATGGATAAAGGCGTGGAAAGGGAAGCCCTGAAGCGGAGGTGGCGTTGGCAGCAAACCCAGCAGAACAAGGAGGTAGGAACCAGACCGAACGCCGTCCTCTTTGCGGAAGGGAAAGTCTTAATGAAATATCCCGTGGGTCTGGGAGGTGCTTCCTATCGTGATATAGTCTGTCTTGAATTTTGGGCACCTCGCTGGCTTGCGGTAGTTGGCTGTGCCACGATGAGATGTATCCTTCAGTCTAAACGATGGCAAAATTCTCTTTATTACAAGGTAGGAAAATTCTTTATTAGAACCGCGTGGTGCCCAATATTGATGGGAGAACAAATTGTCGCCTTCAGGCATCTAAGATCCAGCAGGATGCGACGGCCGTGCTGGGCTTTTAAGAGAAAAGCAACGCTGTGGCGATAAAGATCGATGAGCTGCGCCTCGGTCAGAGCGTAGCGCCAGCTCCTCCACCAAAAAAGGAAATTCATGAACTTGCCACATGAAAGGCTTTTCTAACGCCGTGACACAGGCGAAAGCAGGGACACGACTTTGTCAAGGTGGAAAGTTACCGGCTGTCCTCACGTGGTGGGAGGCAGCCCCTCCGCGTCGAGATGTTTTTGTGTGAACTGGGTAAACTTTGGTTTCCACCTAACGCTGAAGGATGTTGTTTACTCTCCAGCTTCCTTCTTATTTTTGGAAGGCCGCAAAGATTCCTATCTTGACAGTTTGAAAAAATACGTATTTCCCTGCTTGAAGCGGAGTAATTAATAAATAACTGGAGATTTTGCTGCTATTAAAAACATGCTTTTATGCATCTCTTTAAAGTGCCTGCTCCAGAATTAGCTGTCGGCAACATACAGCGACTTGCAGATCTTAAAGGGCTTGAAAATGCTCAGAGCGTAGGATGTGGTAGTGTCGTGCCCTGGTCGTAGCCCTCTGCACAAGCCGAAGGATCTTGGCAGTAGATGTGGGATGTAGGTGGTGCAACGCTCCAGGAATTGCAGGTACCGCTGCAGCGGTTGGCTGCAAGTCGAGGATTACGAGCTCCTCCTTTCCAAATAAGCTCTGAAAGAAGCAGCCCAGGGTGATGGATGTGGCTCTGAATTTCACAACCCGCCCTGGGTGCAATATTCTCCTCCCGTGCTTTGCTTCGCAAGCTTTAGATCAGCGATGAAAGAATCCGTGTTGACGACTTAACCGGGAGCGGAGAAACTTAATTAACGCCTTACTGCGCAAGTGGCGAGCTGAACGTGCCATCAGTTACTTCTGGTGCACGGCTTGAAGGTTTTCTTGGCAGCTTGGAGGACTGAGGATGTTGTGTTTGGATGCTGGAGCTCCGATTATGGAGCCGAGGAAAGGAGGAGGAGGCTGCTGCCCTTCCCGTTGCGTTTCTCAGCTTATGACCTTAAATACGGCAGGCTTGAGCTTAGCTTTTTGCGCAGCCCTGTGTTTTTTAAGGTATTTCTCCCCTTCCTTAGCATGAAAATGGCTTCTGATAACTTTCAGCTCTGGGGTTGCGTTGGAAGCTGTTGGAAAAGCTTTTGCGTTAAGGAGAAAAAGGTGCAATTCCCGAATCTCATACTCGATGCAGACTTTATGAAGTAGACTGGTTGTACCGAAGGCGGCGTATTCTGTAGGTAGACTGGCCTTCCCTTGCGGCGCCCGCTTGGCAGAGCGGCGTTTCGGGCTGTGGCGTCTCACGTTGCGCCGGGCGCGATTGAGGAATGGACGTTTTGCAGTCGTAGTGTAAGGAAACGCGAGCAGAACGTAGGTTCGCCGTGCGTTGAAATAGCGAAGCAACGTTTGAGTTGAGTATTTCTGGGTGATGTGGTGTCTTCCGCTGATTTTTGAAGGAAAATAAATTCTAAAGGCAAAGCTGTGTTTTAGCTAGTCCAGTTATCTGTCCCCCGTCGCTTGTCAATAGATTACGTTATCTTTAATACCATAAGGATTTAGTGTCGGAGTAAAGGTTTCCTCTCGTTCTGTGGGTTGAAATGTTTACTTCCTCCCCGCAAAAAGGCAAACTTGCGTTTCAGGCAGATTAGCTCCCCAGCTGGCTTGAGAGCACAGATTTGGAAATGTGCACTTTTTTGCATAACGTATTGATTATTTTTGCATAAATCCATAGAGAAAAGTTGTGGCTGCCTGTGTAAAACTATGCCGCGGAGATTGGAAAATATTGACTGTGAAGATTTTGGGGTTTTATTTGCTATTTTCCAGTCCGGTCTCGTTTACACCGAAGAGGAGTGGCAGAAGGAGTGGAACGAGCTGATCAAGCTGGCGTCCAGCGAGCCTCGCGTGCACTACGGCACCAACGGGGGCGGCTGCGGAGGGTACGTGGAGGGGACCGAATGCAAAAAATACTGAGTCTCGGCGTCAAACACAGCGAATAATCTTCCTGCAACGTACGGCGCGGGGTGATTCTCAAGGGCAGGTCACGGGACGAGGCTGGGGATCGCTGCTTTGGTCCAGCTGGTCGGGTTTTAAGGGGAAGGATGAAAGGTCACGAGGACCAGCGAGAGGTCCAGAAAGCATCACGGGAGACGATTTAAATGCTACGCAGCCCCTTTGGTGGGGTAAGGCGCACACTGAACGGAAAACTTATCTTTTCCCGTGTTCATCACGTTGATGACTCTGAAATGAGAGGAATAAACCAAAGCTGAGGATTTCCGCAGCACGTGCTGTGTATTTCAAGGGCGCTTTATCGCCGCAGCCATCCCAAACAAACACCGCTTTTGAGGCTCTTTAGATAAGAGACTCCCAGAAGTGCCGAGCGCGGCGTTTCCTGGGTACAGCCCTTGCCTTAGGATAGGACATTTTTGGGGATCTACCTCGAAAATCTCAAATCGGAGCCGAGATCAAACTTCCTGCTGTGAATCTGCCTCTACCTGACTGCCTGTAAAGACCCCTTCCTGTTTTTAAAAGCAATCATTAAATAGGCAAGTAGTGAAAATGAATTTTTTTTCTCATTTCCCAAAGCGTTGAAAGCTCTGAGGAGCCGGTGTACGAGAGCCTGGAGGAGTTTCACGTTTTCGTCCTCGCCCACGTGTTGAAGAGACCCATCGTGGTGGTGGCAGACACGATGCTGCGGGACTCGGGGGGAGAAGGTAGGAATTGCGCGCTCTTTTAAAGAGGTCTTTACGGATGACGCCTGCTCAGACTGTGCGTTTCCGCTCCGCTGCACATTTTCACGAGCCCTCTGCTCAGTGAGGCTGGATCTTGAATGGGAGAGCAGAGCACGGGGTGCGCTGAACTGCTGCAGTCTGATTTTTTGCTATTTCTACGAGCATCCGCGTGATGGGGGGTTTTTTTTCTACCTCTTTTGCCCCCACGTGTGCGTGTAGAGATGGGAAATTCCGTTCCCTGCATGTCGTATTTTCCACTAGCAGACCTAATTTCCCGTCAGAAAAGATTAATCAATTACCATCATTCTGCGTGCAAATTTTAAATTGTCTTGTGGAGGAGTGAAGAAAGGTTTTTTTATAGAAAGCACAGGTTCGTTTTGCAACTGTGTTCTTCCTGATGTAAAATAGATGTCTATTTTGGGTTGTGGGTTTTCTTAGTGTCCCTCGAGCTGACACATAATTGCAGGTGAAACCTTGAGTGAAGGAAACAGCTTGTTCTGGAACAGTTTCAGTATAAACAACTCTTAACTCTTTAACCTGTTATGAAAACTAACCGCCCTGATTTCTTTCCAGCCTTTGCCCCTATTCCCTTTGGAGGGATCTATCTTCCCCTGGAAGTCCCAGCCAACAAATGCCATCGTTCTCCCTTGGTACTGGCTTACGACCAAGCCCATTTTTCTGCCCTGGTATCCATGGAGCAGAAAGAGCCCACGAAAGATCAAGGTAGGTGATAAACAAGATTTATAACAGTATAGCATTGAGAGCAGCCCCGTGGAGAAGGGCTTGGGGACACCAGTGGGTGACAAAGGGGACGTGAGCCGGCAACGTGCGTT